TCAACATGATCTAGGCATTATACTGCAAACGTATTCTTTTATGTCTTTAATACGTTGTATTATAGAACTTTGAATATGATGTTTTATTTGAGAAAATGCATTTTTCAAAGTGTTTTATTTTATACGTTTTTCTGGTGTACTCCCTAAAACAGGAGTGTCAAACTGCCAGCCAATGGGCCGGATGCGTCACGAGGAAACCACGCCCACCCAATTGCAGCAATGGGGGAAAAGTTCTGATACGTCGTGCGACGTCATGTGACGTCGCGAGTTTGACATGTCTGCCCTAAAATAACCTCCCATTTTTTGCATTTAAAACTATTTTCATTCCTAATGTTAAATTATATTTGCTCTATTTATTACCAATTTGGGCACTAAATACTCAGCATCCAACTACTAGACCTGTTGCTGCAGTAAGTGTATCACATCCGACTGCTCCAGATGAGTAGATTAACCAATTTCCTCAGTAATGAACAATTATAATTAAATGTTGAATAGCATGTTAGCCATTCTGTGATGGCTTCTTTTCCTTATGTAAAAGAAACAAAATATTCCAAGCTCATTTTTGCCTCTAACATGCAAATGTAGAAAAATGCATTATTTCGTTTCCACTATTATTTTTCTCTGCCCTTTTCTTTTTGTGCATACAAAAATACCATTATTCTGGTGAAATGCTTATGGGACCTAATAGGGTAGGTAGAGATAACCACGTGAAACAATCCTTCAAGTAGTAGACCCCCAAGTAGTTAGCCTACTTCCAAGGAGAGAAAGAGAAATGTTTCAGTCAAAGGTTAATCAAAGATTAAATAATATCACTCAAGGAAAAATGGGTTTTGAAATATTGAATGGGTGAATGGCTATGAGGATAATTTAATAGGGTTTACTGTTAGAAGTTAATGTTACAATAATATATACAAGAATACAACATGTTTCTGGATTGCAGCTTGTTAATAATGCTTATTAGGCATTTGAGTTCTTAATAAATCTGCAAAGCACATACAAAATCTTATTTCAATAAGCGATAGAAATTTTGTATTAAATAGGAAATCCTTTGAAGGCATATTTGTCTGAATAAATGATGCACATTTAAAATGTGCTCTACCAACTAATTTCTACATTTCATGACTTTCATTGTTATTTCTGAAATATCTGCAATTCTTATTGAAGTTGCTTTATGCTGGTCTATGACGAGAATGAAAATTTTATTTTGCTATTGAGATGAATGCAAAATTCCTTGAATAAGTAATTGCATTGTATTTTTCTTGAAACAAACCATTGAAATCAGTTGGAAAAATTACTCATGATTTAACTAGGAGCTCACAGAAATAAATAGGAAATAAACTTGCTTAAACTAAATCTATATATGTAAATATGTATTGTACAAATCTATCTACATATGTTCTAAAGAAAATCTAACAATCCTATTGTCTTCAGTCATGCATTAAAAAAACCATATGTTCAACATCAAAAGAATTATTGCCCTGGTTTCACAATCTTCAAAGTATCAGGTTAGGTTTTGATATGACCTCTTGTACTTTAAATAAAGGAGAATCCTGTGATCATGCTGATTGACTTATAGAGAGAGAGAGAGCATATGGTTTCATACCATACTACGGAACTACTTTTGTTCTGATAGAACCAACCTAAATCAAAAAATAAAATAAAATTGAATAAAATTGATTGTCATTAATTTTGTCTATGGACAAAACAGAACAACAGAGGTGATTCCTCTCTGTTTAGTAATAAAGAATTTTGCTTGATTCAAATAAGGTGTAAAATAAAGTGAAGTTATTTAATTATGGAACATTTTGCTCTTGGTAGCAAGATGACTGACTGACTGATTTGGTGACTATCAGGTTCTTAAAAATTATTTTTGGTTAACCAATAGGGATTGGATCCTGAATGATTGGAAGTTGAATTTATTAGGCTATCAAGTGGATTGGTCAAAAAGAATG